TTTTAATGCAAAGAGGATAGCCAGAGCTTCGGCTTGGTGCGGCAAAGAGGCGAAGACTATCTTAGCTTCCTGCTGTTGTTGTTGCCCAACCTGTTCTGCAGACCATACAACCGCAGCTTCCCAAGAGTTATCATCCTTCTTCTTTCGTTTTTTCCATGCAGCATCAACACTCACTGTAATAAACTAGTCCCCTGAAATTGTTCCTAGACTCCATGTCGGGATACCACCAATTTTATTACACTCTTCTTGCTCATTTTTTGACTACTGTCGAGAGGATTTGGATGCTTGCTGCCATTGAGTGACATATACTTGTATTGTCCTGATGATGGAGAGAGGATCAGTACTCACGCCTCTAAAAAGGATATCATTTATGTGGATCCATATAGCCCAAAGCGTTGCCACGAACGTAGCAAGCCGTGGAGAATCCAAATCCGTGTCCTGCATAATGTAGCTGACAAAGTTAGTGACCCATTCCTTGCGATTTAGGAACCTAGGATTAGAAGAGATGATGCCCAGCTGGGACGTTTTCTAGATTTTCTGAGAAATTTCACATAGATGGAACAAGTGATTCATGGATTCCTTCTCCTTTTTACATAGAGGGCAGAGCTTTGATGTTTCCACTCTTCTTTTCTCCAGATTATCCATAGTAGGCACTATGTTTTGGGATATCTTCTATAGGAAGATCTTCCATCTTGGTAGCAAATCGCATTTCCAGAATTTTTTCCAGAAATTGGGCTTACTTGGAACCCATATGCTCTGGGATTGCTTCTTGATCAGCGACCAATATCCTGATTTAAAGGAAAATTCCCCATTTTCCTTGTGAGTCCATGTAAACTCATCTTCTTGGCTTTCCTCCGGGATATGAGTAGCTAAGATTTCTTTAGCTATTTCATGGTAAAAAACTTTCCAAACAAGCCCTGCATTCCATCTCCTATCAGTGGTTATCAGGTCTGAAACTTTTGAAAGGGCTGGCATATCATCTGATCTTCTGATTTGAATCCTTCGTCTGGTCACCCAAATTTCTTGTTCGATGTTAGTCACTTCCCATTTCCTATCCTTCTTCCTACATTGTCCTTGAAGGATGAAGCCGCTCTAACTAGGCTCTTCGCAGCCCAGGATCCTCTGATGATCTTTTTACCCATAAGTCCCAATGAGATTGGGTCTTTCCCATATTTCTCTTTAAAGATTTTTCTTGCTAATAGGGAGGGGTTGGTGTAAAATCTCCAGCATTGCTTCATCAGGAGGCTTTTATTTATAGCTAAGACTTCTTTTAGTCCTAGACCTCCCTCAGATTTATGAAGGAACAAGACTTCCTTCTTCCTCCAACAGACGCCATTAGAATTTGAAGCTTTACACCACCAGAATTTGTTGATAAGAGAATTGAGCTTGGATGTAATGTAGCGGGGGCACCTATATAGAGCAACCTTCTCTAGGATGCTGTTGAATTTAGAGCTTGCTCTTCCATCCACATCCATTGGGCATCCTAGGTATGTTCCTAGTTCCGTGCAGCTTTTGACATGGATGGGCTTTCGCATTAGGCGAACAAAACATGAAGGGGTGTTTGGGCTGAATAAGATAGCCGACTTCTTCTCATTGATGACTTCCCTTGACAAGAGACAGAACTGATCTAGCACCTTCTTGACAAGTCTACATGATGCTGGGGTTGCTTTAAAACACAACAAAGCGTCATCTACAAAAAATAAATGGTTAATGGGGGGAGGGGGTATTCCTAGCTAACCGTATACCTTGGAGGTCTCCTGCATTCTGTAGAGAGCACAACTTTCTTGAGAGCACTTCCATGACTAAAATGAAAAGGTAAGGTGATAGAGGATTGCCTTGACGAAGTCATGCCTTTGGAGTGAAATAACCTGTTTGTTCACCATTTACAAGGACTGCATACAAAACCGTTGAGATAGATTGGACGATCCATTGTATCCAAGAAGCTGGGAAATTCATTTTTTCCAGGATAGTCTTTACCAGATCCCAACTGACCCTATCAAAGGCTTTGCTGAGGTCAATTTTCAGAATACCTTCAAAACGACCCCCTTTTCTTCTTCTCTTCACAGCCGTGAGAATTTCGTGGGCTATATAGCAGTTGTCAACCATAAGTCTTCATGGGATGAAGGCGTTCTGGAAATCTCCAATCAAGTCAGGCAGAATATGTTTGAGCCTGTTAACTAGACATTTGGAGATTATTTTATAGAAAGAGTTGGAAAGACTTATAGGCCGGAATTCATCAACCTTCTTTGGCTGCTTTACCTTCGGGATAAGAGTGATGAATGTACGGTTCGATTCTTTGAGCATGTATCCCGTGGTGAAAAAATGTTGGACTCCTCTAAACACATCCTCTTTGATATTATCCCAGTTCCCTTGAAAGAAAAGCGGAGGACATCCATCTGGGCCGGGGGATTTTATGAGGTGAGGATCAAAAGCCGCTTTCCTGATCTCAGCCCTTGAGAAGGGCTTTGATAGCCATTCGATATGGGCCAGTGAAAGAGAAGGCATGTCTGCTGTCCAAGTCTGTCTTAGAAGGCTAGCTTCGTCAGATTGGGCCTGTTGAATATTTGGCCCATCAAACAGAGACTTGAAGTGATTTAGGAAATTGGCCTTGATATCTTGTTTGCTATTAATCCAGTTTCCTTGATCATCTTGAATCACTCTTACCTCATCCCTTAGAGTTCTTTGTTTCACACTCTTATAGAAGAAAGACGTGGGCTGGTCTCCCAAGGAGTCCCATTTTGATTTCGCCCGTTGTCTCCAATACCACCATCTAAGGGAAGCTTCATCCTCTAATTGTTTCCTGAAGTTGATTTCCGCGCCAAGATTTGAGGTTGTTGTTAATGACTCATCTTGTTGTTGTTCCTCCAAATTGTCTTTCAAGTCTTGCCAGTTAATGCTCATGGAAACATGTTTTTTTACTGATGCACCAATCCCGAATGTCATTGAGGCAATGCTTTAGTTTTCTCTGTGTTACAAATAGTGGAGACCCAATTACTTGTGTCTTCCAAGTTGAGGATACTAGCTCATAAACTTCCTTCAATTTTAAACTCCATGCCTCCATTTTATATGGAGTCCTTCTCTTAGAAGTATTAGGGTGTAGTTCCAAAACAATGGGGGCATGATCGGAGAAAACTATTGGTAGGTTCCAGAGTCTAGCATCAGGAAAGGACAGTTTCCACAAGTTATTTGCATACGCCCTATCCAATTGCTCATAGATAGGGCCATCTATTCTATTATTGCACCAAGTAAATTTTAGTCCAATAGAGTGTAGTTGAATTAGCTCATTCTCTAATTTCCAAGGCAGAAAGTGTGATAGTCCTTTAATAGAAGTGCTACCTCCCAACTTTTGATCAGAAGATTCAAGTTGGTTAAAATCCCCTATAAGGATAAACTACCCTTGTGTATCTACATAAGTGAGCTTAAGGAAGACCAGACTTCTTCCCTACAAGAGATATACGGACTACCATACACGCAAGCAAGGTAATACGAAGCACCATCCACTAGAGATATATTACAGAGGATAACATTCGGGAGAGCTACAATAACATCTACTTCTACTCTATCCGACCAACAAAGAAACAGTCCTCCTTTGTTGGCTAAAGCATCAAAGCCAGTGCTGATAGGAAATCCTTTCCTACTGAAAAAAGGAGTTAAGGACTTAACACTACACTTAGTTTCTAAGGAAAATAAAATCAACGTTAAACCTAGCCGCTACGATCATTACCACAGGGAAAATCAGGGAGCTATGATCGCTCGCTCCCCTACAATTCCAACTCAAGCAACTCATTTTCCCTCCGAAGGCTGTGGGCCAGCCTCACCTTTGACCGTGGTCTTCCCTGGTTCCTTGCTTGTAACCTCATCATCCGATCAGATCATGTCTTCCCGCACCACAACTGTTAGATACTGGATCCTAGTAGGCAGACTTTTCCTCTCCTCCAATTCCTCCAACTTTTCCCAGAGATCATCTTCCTTACTAATACCGTATTGCATTTCTTCACTTCTCCCTAGCTCCTACTCATATCCTTCTCCTCTTCAGATCTCCCCTGCTTCCTACTATTACTAGTCGAGTCCTTAAGAGTCCAGGAGATGCCTAGTGACCTATCTCTCGGGATTTCCTTGGAGACTCTTGAGCTCCACTTCTTCTTTCTTGGCCCTTCTTCTGAGAATCTTCTCCCCCTCCTTCTTTTGTACAAAATCTTGCGCTGTTCATGTGTGTAGACGTCCAATTCAAAGTCCGATGAATCCTCGCTATTGCCTAGTTCTAGCTTACTGATGTTTAGAATTGGGTGCATAGAGTCCGAAGAGATCGAGGAAGGGGCAGTATTGAAGGAGTCAACGAAAACTTCTAACGGATTATCGAAATTTAAAATATGATTGGAAATACAAAAACATTAGATAGGGAAGAATAGGCAACGCAAGCAAAAGCGACGGACATGACGTTATCCGTTGCATAATTGGTGGCACGGCTGACTTAAGGTTGACCACTTGTGATATTGACAATGGCCAGTGTTCTTGTTAATTTGAAGGATTTTAATTAGCTTATATTTTACTGCAAAATTTGACCAAGTAATACAGTCTACACCTTGACTTGACTTGTTAAGCACCAAAACTGATAGATATTGTTTTCTAAATAATATTTTTCGGATATATTTGTATATATTTTGTATAATTATCTTATTGTATAATTATCTTTTTAGAATCCTAACGTGATTAGGAATAGCTTGTAACATTATATAAAGTGATCAATGGTACACATTCCAATCTGAGGAGTTTTCCCGAATATCTAACATGGTATCAGAGCTTTAGGTTACGATCCTAGATTTTTTTTTCTTCTCTTCTCTTGCTTCCGCTACACCTTACTGCCGCCCATCCTTCTTCACTGATTCTTTACATTAGTTTGAAACTATGACTAAAGATGGCGAAACCCCCCTCCTCCACCGCCAAAACCACCAGTGAATGAATTTCATCCGGCCCTTGCGGTCAATAATATCAAAACTGCGATGCCGATTACACTAGACTACACAAACGTCCATTATTTCACTTGGGTTAAATTATTTGAGAACCATGCTTGCGCATACAACGTTCTTGACCATATTGATCCCAAAACTCCGAAACCAACTGACATCTCCGATGCCTTTTGGACTCATTTAGATGCGATAGTTAAACACTGGATTTATGGAACGATTTCCGTTGATCTTCTCAACACTATGTTGTCTAGGAAAGCTACTGCTCAGCAAATTTTGGACCGTATCAAGGAAATTTTTCAAGATAACAAGAGTACAATGGCAGTATACCTCGAGAATCAATTTAATACTCTTCATCTTGATAATTTCGCCAATGTTACTACGTGCTGTCAACAATTGAAAAGCATCGCTAATCAATTAGCCAACGTCGATCAACCCATTTCTGATCAGAAATTGGTTCTTCGTTTGGTTGCGGGCTTGAATAAAACTGATTTCGATACAGTGGCCACGATGATTGCACAATCCGAGCCTCTGCCATCGTTCAATACAGCCAGGTCTCGGCTGTTAGTGGAAGAAACTCGTTGGAATTCCGACTCCACACCACCACCTTCAGTGTTTGTTGCCCAGCAACAATCGGGACAGCAGGCGGACTCCTCACAGCAGCAGCCGCAGCAACCGTCCGCCGGCAGGGGCAGCTCCACCTCCAGCAAGGGCCGTGGTGGCGGAGGAAAGGGGCGTGGCAAAGGTCGTGGTCGCGGTGGACCAGGCCGTGGTGCCCCTGGAAACCCGCAATAGCAACAGCAACAGGACGCTCCTCAACAACAGTGGCAATCTCAATCTCAGCCCAATATAATTGGGCAGCCTCATTGGGCCCAGCAGTCACAGTGGCCCAACCAACAGTAGACCTGGCAGCAGCAGGCTTGGGCCATTTCGCCTGCCCCTTTCCCCACAGCAGGCCATTATCAGCCAAGGTCCATACTTAGCTGGCCCCCTTCGCAAGCATACTACTCCATGGGGCCGACACCTTCTGGCCCACTAATGACCCCGACTGAGCTAGGCAGTGCATATTCATCGATGAGCTTATCAACTCCGGAGAATGGTTGATACACGGACTCCGGTGCAACCTCTCATATGACAAACAATCCCGGTACTCTTCTTCCCCTTTTTAATTTAAGCACTGATAATCATATTTTAGTTGGTAATGGGCATCGCATTCCAATCACTGGTTATGGTCATACCTCACTTCCAAATAATAACCTTAGGCTTAATAATGTTCTACTTGCACCACAAATTATCAAAAATTTAATTTCTGTGCGTAAATTCACTTCGAATAATTCGGTGTCTATTGAATTTGACCCTAATGGTTTTTCTGTGAAGGATCTTCGTACGGGGAGGGTAATAACGAGATGTGATAGTGCCGGGGAGCTCTATCCAGTCACACCCAACATTCCAAGCACATGTCTAGCCACCTCTCTCACTGCCGTCAACCCGTGGCATGATCGTCTAGGACATCCCGGGCCTTCATCTTTACAGTTTCTTAGGAGCAATAATTTTATTTCTTAAAATAAGGAGCACGAACCCTCTTTTTGCAATTCCTGTCAAATAGGAAAACATGTTAGACTTCCGTTTTATGATTCAAATAATAATAATGTTTCTGCCTTTGACATTATTCATGCTGATTTGTGGACATCTCCGATTCAGAGTATTAATGGTCATAAACATTACTTTGTTCTACTTGATGATTTCACACATTATGTTTGGGCTATCCCTCTTTCTTATAAATCTCAAGCCTTCCAATCATTCTTACATTTTCGATAATATGTGCAAACACAATTTGAACGTCCTGTTAAATGTTTTCAAAGTGACCATGGTCGCGAATTTGACAATGACCCCTTCAAAAAATTTTGCCTTGACAATGGTTTGGCTTTTAGATTCTCCTGTCCTCGCACTTCATCTCAAAATGGGAAAGCCGAACGCATGATTAGAACCATAAATAATGTCAACCGAACTCTATTATTTCATGCTTCCTTGCCACCATCATATTGGTCACATGCTTTAGAGACGGCCACTTATCTTCTTAATATTTTACCTACTAAATCTCTTAAGAACATGACCCCGGCTCAAGCTTTGTTTCGTAGATACCCTTCATATGACCCTTTACGGGTTTTTGGATGTCTATGTTTCCCTAATCTCTCCGCTATTGCTCCACATAAGCTTGCTCCTAGGTCCACACCTTGTGTCTTCTTAGGCTATCCCTCAAACCATCGAGGTTACAAATGTCTAGACCTTGCGACCCGCAAAATTATTATTTCTAGGCACGTAACTTTCAATGAGTCTATTTTTCCATTTAAAGACCTTGAGAAATTTACATTACAAGATTATAAGTTTTTGGGTATTGATGACAGATCACCGTTACTAACTCATCTGTTCTTGCAGCAGCCCATGTCTCAATTACAAGCCCAACCTCAAAATCACCAAGGTCAACAACCCTCAAACCCATTGGGCGCTGGATCTCCAGCGGCCCAACCTGTAGCTACCAGCCCGGAGCCAGCGGCCCAGCCATTAGGCGCTGGAAATCCAGCGGGCCGGTCAGAAACCAACATCCCAGGACCAGCGGCCTATCAGTTGGGCGCTGGTTCTCCGCACTCTCCCCAATTGGGCTCACCTCACGCTGGGCCCAATTCCCCCCTAGCAGCTTCTAGCCCACTACATTTCACTCCACCAGCCCACCAATCTTCCATCCTCACTCGACCCAACCTTCTTACATCCCCTCAAATGCAGTCGAGATCCCGTCATGGCATTATTAAACCAAATCCAAAATATGCCCACTTAACCATTGAGCATAAATTCCCTTTACCCAAAAATCACAAACAAGCTCTCCAAGACCATAATTGGAATGCCGCGATATTAGATGAATACAGTGCTTTAATTAAAACGGAAACTTGGGATTTGGTACCTAGACCTATGGGGGTGAATGTTGTTAATTGTATGTGGCTTTGTAAGCATAAATACAAGTCTAATGGTGACCTTGAAAAGCACAAAGCTCGTCTTGTTTGTGATGGCAGGTCGCAAGAAATTGGAGTTGATTGTGATGAGACATTTACTCCGGTCGTAAAAGAGGCTACTATTCGCACAGTACTTAGTTTAGCTATGGCTAAAAAGTGGTCCATACATCAGTTAGATGTTAAAAATTCTTTTCTACATGGTGACTTACAGGAAACAGTTTATATGCATCAACCTCCGGGTTTCTATGATCGAAGAAAGCCTGACTATGTCCGCCGTCTTCGTAAGGCTCTATATGGTTTAAAACAAGCCCCACAGGCTTGGTACCAACGCTTTGCTAATTTTTTGATCAAGTTGGGGTTCAACATTGCTAAGAGTGATACTTCTCTTTTCACTTTTAGGCAAGGGAACGACTTAGCATATTTACTGCTTTATGTTGATGATATTATTCTAGTCACTTCTTCTGACAAGTTGCGCACGGAAATTATCTCTAGCTTACAGACAGAATTTCCTATGTCAGACCTAGGGCCACTGAGTTACTTTTTGGGGATTGCAGTTACTCGCACACCCTCTTATATGCTTTTGTCTCAGCAAAAATATGCACAGGAAATATTAGAGCGTGCAGGTATGAGTTCTTGTAAACCTGCTGCCACTCCAGTCGACACTAAGTCTAAACTTAGTGCTAATTTGGGTTCTCTATTCCGGGATCATACTCTGTATCGCAGCCTTGCAGGTGCACTTCAGTACCTTACTTTTACTCGTCCAGATATTGCTTATGCGGTACAACAGGTGTGTTTATTTATGCACGATCCCAGGGAGCCGCATTTTGATGCGCTAAAACGCATTCTGCGTTATATTCAGGGTACTATTGATCACGGTTTACATTTATATCCTTCTGCTCCTACTCGCTTGATTACTTATACTAACACTGACTGGGGAGGTTGTCCCGACACCCGTCGTTCCACATCGGGTTATTGTTGTTTTCTTGGGGACAACCTCGTTTCTTGGTCAGTAAAGCGTCAGCCTACTTTGTCTAAATCAAGTGCAGAGGCGGAGTATCGAGGCGTTGCAAATGTGGTTTCTGAAGCGTATTGGCTTCGTAATTTATTATTGGAGCTTCATTGTCCCCTTTGACAGGCTACTATCATTTATTGTGATAATGTCAGCGCAATCTATCTCTCTATTAACCCGGTCTATCACCAACGCACCAAGCATGTGGAATTAGACATCCACTTTGTTCGGGAAAAGGTTGCGTTGGGTGAGGTTCGGGTTCTACACGCGCCGTCACGTTTTTAGTTTGCGTCATCTTCATTAAGGGCTTATCAAGGGAGCTATTTTTAGACTTCAGATCCAGTCTCTGCGTCCGTCCTCCTACCGCTTCGACTGTGGGGGTGTGATAGATATTATTTTCTAAATAATATTTGTTGGATATATTTGTATATATTTTGTATAATTATCTTATTGTATAATTATCTTTTTAGAATCCTAACGTGATTAGGAATAGCTTGTAACATTATATAAAGTGATCAATGGTACACACTCCAATCTGAGGAGCTTTCCCGAATATCTAACAAAAAACAAACCCAATTTTGAAACTCCTTTTGTATAAAAAAGTTGCTCATTTGTTAGATACATCACAAGAGTCAACATAATTTTATCTACTTTGAGATAATGAACTTCTTTTAAATGACTTTTACGAGTACAAATCAACTGTACGTTTTAATAATTGAATAAAGAGTGGATTCCAATACGGAATCATCTCCACAATTTTAAAAGAATCAAATTGTCAATTTACTTCCAAGTTCCAAACCCCAACTAGGAAAAGTGGATAACACAACTTGACTACATTGTCTAGTTGAGGATCTTTATAGTGATAAGGAGGATGGAATCCTCCATCAACAATTGATAGATACGTACACAATCTGACATTCTTGAGCAAAAGAAAAGGATGTTTGGCAAATGGTAATTTGTACCTTCTCCTTTGGCTTTCATAGTTACATATTTATGTTCAATTGTCCACTTTTAGGTGAAATTTAACTACTTAGTACGGAGTAATATTTTTTTATTACTTGTATTAATTAAAATTGGCTGGAATTTTGTGAAAAAAACATATTGACTAACTTTGGCAATATTCACATAACTTGCTTTGATTTTGTTTTGTGATTTCGTGTTACAAAAAGTATAATCGTGTGGGGTTTTGTCTTTGCCACCCTCTGAACGCTACTTACCATTTAAAAAATGAAAAACGCTTGCAGCACCTTGAGACAGACGCAAGATTGATTGTAACTTCAATATCCCAGTCTCGACATCTAATTTTATATATCAATTTTTTATAATTTCAAAGATATTTACATGAGAAAGTATGCATTGGGAAAGATACCTAAATAAAATGTATCATCTTATCATCTAATATGAAATGAAGGAAATATATATACAAACTCAAAAATATTGTAATGAGTAAATGATAAGACCCCATTTGTATTTTAAGAGTATACACAGATTTTACCGTACCGATGGCGAGTCACAACTTTTGTCATCTACATTATTTGAATTCTTAGATATCGAGTACTATGTTTTTTAGTCATTTTTTATATTGGTTTGTATTCTGTTTTGCACTTGTAAAATTATTAGTGACAACTAATAGCCTAATATGGATATGTTTATAATAAAATAAATTGGCATAGTATAGATAACACGAATGTATTAATTTTTTTTTTTTTTTTTTTATTTTTTTTTGTAAAAAGAAGCCCCTTGAATTATCAATGATGCTAATAAGTCTTAGCTGTACCCTG